GGTCTCGTATTTCCATCTCTTTCAGAATTTTCCATAGTTTATTGTGATCCACACAGTCAAAGGCTTTGGCATAGTCAATAAAGCAGAAATAGATGTTTTTCTGGAACTCTCTTGCTTTTTCGATGATTTTTTGGCAATTTGATCTCTGGTTCCTCTGCCTTTTCTAAAACCAGCTTGAACATCTGGAAGTTCATGGTTCACCTACTGTTGAAGCCTGGCTTGGAGAATTTTGAGCATTTCTTTGCTAGTGTTTGAGATGAGTGTAATTGTGCGGTAGTTTGAACATTCTTTGGCACTGCCTTTCTTTAGGATTGGAATGAAAACTGACCATTTCCAGTCCGGTGGCCACTGCTGAGTTTTCCAGATTTGCTGCCATATTGAGTGCAGCATTTTCATAGCATCATCTTTTAGGATGTGAAATAGCTCAACTGGAATTCCATCACCTCCACTAGCTTTATTTGTAGTGATGCTTCCTAAGGCCCACTTTACTTCACATTCCAGGATGTCTGGCTCTAGGTCAGTGATCACACCATCATGGTTATCTGGGTCATGAAAAAAATCTTTTTCGTATAGTTCTTCTGTGTATTCTTGCCACCTCTTCTTAATATCTTCTGCTTCTGTTAGGTCCATAGCATTTCTTTCCTTTATTGTGCCCATCTTTGCATGAAATGTTCCCTTGGTATCTCTAATTATCTTGAAGACATCTCAAGTCTTTCCCATCCTATTGTTTTCCTCTATTTCTTTGCATTGATCCCTGAGGAAGGCTTTCTTATCTCTCCTTGCTGTTCTTTGGAACTCTGCATTCAAATGGGTATATCTTTCCTTTTCTCCTTTGCCTTTCATGTCTTTTCTCCTCTCAACTATTTGTAAGGCCTCCTCGGACAACCATTTTGCCTTTTTGTATTTATTTTTCTTGGAGATGGTCTTGATCACTGCCTCCTGTATAATGTCAGGAACCTCTGTCCATAGTTCTTTAGGCACTCTATCAGATCTAACCCATTAAATCTATTTCTCGATTCCCCTGTATAATCATAAGGGATTTGATTTAGTTCATACCTGAATGGTCTAGCAGTTTTCCCTACATTCTTCAATTTAAGTCTGAATTTGGCAGTAAGGAGTTCATGGTCTGAGCCACAGTAAGCTCCCAGTCTTGTTTTTGCTGATTGTATGCAGCTTTTCCATCTTTGGCTGCAAAAAATATAATCAACCTTAGTTTCATATTGACCATCTGCTGATTTCCATGTGTACAGTCTTCTCTTGTGTTGTTGGAAGAGGGTGTTTGCTATGATCAGTGCATTCTCTTGGCAAAACTCTGTTAGCCTTTGACCTGTTTCATTTTGTACTCCAAGGCCAAATTTGCCTGTTACTCCAGGTAGCTCTTGAATTCCTACTTTTGCATTCCAGTCTCCTATATTTAAGAGGACATCTTTTTTGGGTGTTAGTTCTGGAAGGTCTTTTGCGTCTTCATATAACCGTTCAGCTTCTTCAGCATTACTGGTCTGGGTGTAGAATTGGATTACTGTGATATTGAATGGTTTGCCTTGGAAACGAACAGAGATCATTCTGTCGTTTTTGAGATGGCATCCAAGTACTGCATTTCAGACTCTTTTGTTGACTATGATGGCTACCCCATTTCTTCTAAGGGATTCTTGCCCACGGTAGTAGATATAATGGTTATCTGAGTTATCTAATAACTCAGATCTATGAAAACAAAATCATTGGTCTCCTGGACAGCAAGGAGGTCAAATCAGTCAGTCCTAAAGGAAATCAACCCTGAATATTCATTGGAAGGACTGATGCTGAAGCTGAAGCTCAAATACTCTGGCCACATGATGTGAAGAGCCGACTCACTGGAAAAGACCCTGATCCAGGGAAAGTTTGAGGTTAGGAGGAGAAGTGGGTGACAGAGGATGAGATGGTTGGATGGCACCACTAACTCAATGGACATGAGTTTGAGCAAACTCAAGGAGATAGTGAAGGACAGGGAAGCTGGGCATGCCACAGTTCATGGGGAAGCAAAGAGTCAGGCACAACTTAGCAACTGAACCACAACTGTGCTATAAATCTCAAAAATTTCCAAATGGGGCTTTTATGACACATTCAGCGGCTCTGCTGCCTGTTTAGAAGAAATGGGCACTCTTTAAATTCACATTTTACTCTTTCCTTGAAGTGAGTCAAAGGTCCAAACTGACACAGGTCACCTTCTCATATGAGTTTTGCTTCTCATTTTAGTTGACCGCTTGGTTAGTTGTTTTTATTAAGGCTCTTATGGCAGGGTCGGCCATAGTCCAGAAATAACATGCCTGTCCTGCCACATCCAGATGCTTTTTTAAAGAGTACTTTCAGGCAACTGGCCACAGGCAGAGTCATTTCAACTAACTCAACTGGAACTGATGATGAATCTCCCTCACTGTGGGTGCTTTCATCCATCATAAGGCACACCTTGTCCTCTGTAGAAATCATACATCATTACAGGGCTCAGGGCCCTAACAGCGAAGAATCACAAAGAATGATACACAAAGGGAAGTGTTTTGTCAGCGCAGGATAGGGCCACATCGAACCACCACTAAAACTTAGAGCCCTCTTCAGGTGGGAGTGATTTTCCTCAGGAAAATCCCCTCATTTGAGGCTCACTGTTGACTGCTGCAAACATGCTTTGTCGCTTCATAAAATTAGGAGTTCTCCCTTGCCTTCTCAGACCATATATCCCTCTCATTGAATTACCCTCTAATGCCCTGCACTGAACTGGGAAGTGTCCCAGTGTGCTGTCAAATCCTTTTATTTTTGTTATGAAGCAGGTTCTACCTGAAGGAGATGCCCATTTGTTGCCAAACTTAATTAAGGGAAGTTGGATCTTTTAAAGCAGGAGAAGCATATGAGTTGCTAAATAGCAAAGGGCATTTTCTGGCTTTTCTACAGCATTAAAACAACACCATGTTCTCTCCAACCTAAGCAAACAGACAAAACAGAACACTTCTAACTCCATGTCACATCATACCCATTCTTCAGTCGTCATTATCCCCATTTAACAGCTGGGGAAATTGAGAGAGTGGAAGATAATTAGAGCTACCTAGTGCTCAGAAACAGGAGCCAGAGCCAGAAGTCATTAACTCTGTCAATTTCCACAGCACAGCTGAGGCACTGTGACTTTGAAAAAGAACAGATGGTAAGTGAAGGCAAGGACGAAGATGGAGGTCTTCCTTTAGTAACTTGGAAGGCTGTCAGGTGCTATTCTGCATGTTAACTAAGAATGAAATTCCAAACTTTGAAAGCCAGTCATACCGCCTTACATGAGGTTGTAAAAATAGTTCTCTTTGGAAAGGGTGGCCCATGTTAAAAATATCCTCAGTGACCTGTTTTCAAGGAGTCCAATTCAAACAAGTTATTTTTAATAATGGGTGGTCGTCCCAGTGGTCTGTTTAAAATGGATTATCCTGAGTAATTAGAGACAACTGTGCTTTTTGTTAGATGAAGTTCCCTGGGGTCTTTTTTTTTTCCTCTGTCATTCATTTCTATAGAACCTTCAGAAAAATTGAATCCACAAATTAAGTCCATCCTTTTCCCTTGACAAAATTCCATCCTATCAAGGTTCTGCTGCCCTCTCCAGAAACCTAAGGAAAAAAAACCTTGTCTGCAATGCAAACTTAAGGACCAAGAAGTTTAGACACTTGATTTTTATGGTGCTACTTCCCATGTGCCCATGATTCTTTGCCTCTTTGATACATCAGAAAAGGGGTGCTTCAGGGATATAATTTCCTTCTGCCTTATACTTATCATGGATATTACTGAATTTTAGAAATCACTTTATATCCATACTTACAATTAAAGATAAATTATTCACCTCTTAGCTGCATCCTGTAAGACTTCACCCGTGTGTGAGTCATGAGCCATTTGTGCCTATCAGCACTTGGAATGAAGCAGGTCTGAATGGAGGTGTGCTGTAAAGGTAAACTGTGCGATGGACTTTGAAGCTCAATACAAAATATTGATAATTTTTAAGAATGATTACATACTGAAATAATCATTTGGATATATTAGGCTAAATAAAATCTTTTCAAAATTAATTTCACCTAACCATTTCTGTTCTTTTACTTTTTAATGTGGCGATCATAAAATTTAAAACTACACATATGCTTATATTCCTACTGAACAATGTTACAATAGAGTAGGAGTTGGCAAACTTTACTTGAGAAGGTCCAGAGAGTAAATATGTTAGATTTTGTTGCCATATGGTTTCTGTTTCAGCTTCTCAACACTGCCATTATAGTATGAAATCAGGCAGAGACAACCGCAAATGAATGGTCATGGTTCTATTCCAATAAAACTTTACTTATGAATACAGAAGTCTGAATTTCATATCATGTTCATGTGGCATGAAATATTTTTCTCTTGATTTTTTTCACCTTCTAAAACATAAAAAAATTCTTTCTTCATGAGTTATTCAAAAATAGATGGGAGATGATCAGCCAGATTTGGGGCATGGATCTGCTAATTCCTGCTACATATGGGCCACAGAAGGTACCATGTAGGGCCAATCCTATCATTCACTAAAGCCTATTGTCCATGTTGGGCTTCCCAGGCGGCTCAGTGGTAAAGAACCCACTTGCCAATGCAGGAGACTCAGGAGACCTGGGTTGGATCCCGAGTTGGGAAGATTCCCCTGGAGAAGGAAATGGCAACACACTCCAGTATTCTTGTCTGGTGAATTCCATGGGCAGAGGAGCCTGGTGGACCACACTCCATGGGGTCACTACAGTCCATGGGGGTCACGTGACTGAGCACTCACATATTGTCCATGTTAAAGAGGACTAGGTTATGTAATAAAATTAGAATAAAAAAGAAAATCTTCAATGAGGACTGCAGGGATAAAAGTAGAGGCAGGGTTATCACAAACCACAGGGATTTCTTTTTAAGTCCACAGGAATGAGTACCAAAAAATTTTATTACAAATATCCTTATGCTCGTAAATTTTTTTACGGGAGTTTTTAAAAACGCTAGAGATGATGAAGTTGAGACAGAAGGTGGAGGAGAATTCACAGATGTTAGCTAATTCCCCTGCAGAGGTTTCCATTGCCCAGCCTGCTCAGCAGTAGGTGAATCAGCTTTGGAGACTGAAAAGAGAAGTCTGTGCTTTGGCAGAGCTGAGCAACAGATGAGGTTTGTTACTGACATTTTCTCATCTCTTCCATCTTTGCCCACTAATCCTTGACCTCAAACAGCTTACAACCTCCTGGGCAAACAGGTTTTAAGCAAGTAAACAGACAGAGAAGTCATTTGAAAACATGAAAATACTCCAAAATAAAAGACAGGTGCACTAGAAAAGTGTGTCTCAAACTTAAACATGCATAAGATTAAACTGAGGGGCTTGTTAAAAGGCCAAAAGTGAGTTAGTAGGTCTGGGTAACACATTCCAAATTTCTTACAAATTTTTAGGTGATGCTGGAATTCTTGGTCCTTGGACCACACTTCACTATCATGCAAGGCAAGGTTCACACCAGCAGGTATTTTTGTCTGTTTCTGTCTTTTGGGTTCACTACTCTGGGAGTTGGTGATGGACAGGGAGGCCTGGCATGCTGTGATTCATGGGGTCGCAAAGAGTCGGACACGACTGAGCGACTGAACTGAACTGAACTGAATGCATCTAAAGCACCTAGAACAGTGCTTAGCACATAGTAAGCACTCAATAAATACATTCTGAATGAAGAATATAGGAAAGAATCACATGAAGGGATATATCATTTAGACTGAGGTATCAGAAAGCAGTCTCTGATGGAAAGCTATTTTAGCTGAAGCCCTCTCATGTTCTAAATGCTACTACTTTCTCCGTATCTCTTCCATCACTTACTCTCAATTCTAAAACTAGGTTCTCACAAAATACATCAAATAAAGATGGTGATCAGTAGGGGCTTCCTTGGTGGCTCAGACGGTAAAGAATCTGCCTGTGATGAAGGAGACCTGCATTCGATCCCTAGGTTGGGAAGATCCCCTGGAGAAGGAAATGGCTGCCCACTCCTGTATTCTTGCCTGGAGAATTCCAAGAGGAGCCTGGTGGGCTACAGTCTATGGGGTCACAAAGAGTCGGACACAACTGAGCAACTAACACTTTAGACACTAGGTGCTCAGACAAGACATCAAATAAACATGGTGATTATTGGTAACTGTCAAATATGTTGCCTCTCCTGTGACATCTGCATTCCTAACATTGGTGCCTGGAGAAGGAACATCTTCCAATGAATGACCCTCTAACAGTGGAGTGTAAGGAGCAGTTACAAGAGAAGAAGCAAATATTTGGTATCAGTATCCTTTTGCTTATACTAAATAATTAAGCAACTAACTACCAGTATCTACATAAAACCAGTCATACAATCATTAACAATTATGTGACATTTTAAAAAACTAAGGTTAGCATTTACGATTAAAATAAGGCTAACTTATAATTAACACTGTTTCCCCTTACAGAAGAACTGATAAACAATGGACTTTTACAGTTGCAAAGGATGTAAGAAATCATCTACTTCAACCACTTTATTAAGGTAAGAATGTTTAGTCCATAGTCAGTTCAGTTCAGTCGCTCAGTTGTGTCTGACTCTTTGCGACCCCATAGGCTGTTATTAAATGGTCATTCAATCTGAGATCCCTCACAAAACAATCAATTCCATTTTTTAGCATCTGATAAATGATACTAAATTGTTTGTCTAATAATTTCTCTCTTTCCCTGAAATTTTTATATATTGTTTCTGGTTCACTTTTTCAGCAGATACTTTAATGCCAACAGTGTGCTAAGATCTGGCAGCAGAATCATCTGCAGGCCCTGCTTGTATCATCCTGCCCTCTGGAACCCACTGGAATAAGTCTGATCCATCTTCCTTGTGACAGGGCATCATAATTTTGTAAGACAGTTATTCTTAAAGATGTGGAAAACTGCCCATTCGTCTTCATGAGAAGTTGGTTCATTTGGTCACTCTTTCACAACCGCACTGTGCCAGCTGCCATGCTAAGCACAGGGTACTGCTTTGCCCAATAGAGACATGGTCTTAGTCTTCATGCAAATTAAGGTTTATTTGGAAGTACATTCATCGAAGAAGTTAATACAACATTGAGTATGATGACAAGGCAAGAAGTGACGCAATGAGATCTAGGGGGTCACAGAGCAGGGTTCTAACAAGCTGACACTTACGGAAAGTCACATTTGGAATGGAGATGGCTGCAGCGTAAGTGTTGGAAGGGCCAGTGTTATGAGCTGCACTTAGGGAGGTAATCAGGAACCAGGTCACAGAGGGCTTGGGAATTTATTCTGAAGCTTTTGCTCTTCAGCCAAAAGTCAAGAAGAAGAAATTATAGAGTTTCAGCAAGATAGTGACACGACCAGATTTGAGTTCTATAATGATTGCTCTGGATTCAGTGTTCAGCGTGCAATGGAGGTGAATAAAACTCGAGGCAGGGAGATAGATCAGTGTTTCTCAAAATCATCAGGGATCTTCTAGAGCTTATTTCTAGGTTTGAGTGGGGCCTGAGATTCCATATTTCTAACAAGCTCCCGAGTGTTGCTAAAGCTGATGAACTGAGGCCCTCACTCTGAGTAGCAAATAGAAGGATCTGGGGTAAGAAATGACGGAGACTGGATGAGGCAGCAGCAGTGAAACTGAAGAGAAGTAGGTGGATTTGGGTACAGAAGACAGACTCGGTAGTAGGTCTTCATAACCATATTAGGTGTGGGAGAGGAAAGAATGCCTCTCAAATTTCTGGTGTAGCCAGTGGGATGGGGCCGGTTGTGATGTCTTTAAACATGCTATTTACGATTCAAAACAAAACAGTCTATTATTTTCAGCTTCTCATATATATAAGAAATTTTCTCCAGTCAGTTGCCTCTGGTCCATGAAATCCAATGTATTCATTCTCAAATGTTTTAAGTGGTTTAGAAAATGCATACGTTTAAGCATATTGCCTTGACACGGTATTTGGGTTCTTTCCAAACAAACAATCTAGGGATTAGCTTCCTGCCTACACAGTGACATGCACATTCCATATCCGTAGTCCTGCAAGCGTGCAGATCTGTACTGTTAAAGTGCACCATGGAACTTCAGTGGCAAGCATACCAGAGGGGTTTCTTTTGACTTTAGCAGCAGAAGTGGGTAACTTCTGCTCATTTCCCAAAAAGGCTCATTTCCCAAATTTTTAATATGCGCATGATAATGATAGTAGAAATCACATTTCTGTGATGGGCTGACATAGTTTCTAACTGCTAGGATTCCTTCCTCACTCCCACAGCACATCCCCTGGCAGATTTCTGCTAAACAGAGGAGGTAATTTAAAGGTTTGATTAGTATAGATTTCTGGAAGTTCAGCACACAGAGCGATTGCAGTCAGCCTCGCTAGGATAGTTGGAGTGAGGGAGGCTGGGAATTTGATGTACTGAAACAATGAAACCTCATTTTGAGAGACAGCTCTGTTCTCTTCTGTCTGAAATATCATATCCACTTTGTGTTTTATGAACAAAGTGTTTATTTGTTGAACTATTCAGGCAGAGAATTGATGAGCAGGTCCTCGGCTTACCAGCTGACTTGGAGAGCTGACATCTTCCTGGTTGTAAAGCTTAAAAAAGATTGTTGTGTATGGTATATATTCCATAGTTTTCCATCCACTTAAATTGAAGCTGACAGAAATTCAAAGTCAATGCCTTCCTTATGAAGTGATTCTTTGTGATGTAATTACAGAATGAAATCTCTTGGCTGAAATAGGATTTTCTCCCCTGGAGATGACATTAAAAAGAAATAGAGATTACCAATAAACAGCCTGAGAACCTAGATGAGTAGCACTGAGAGGGAGTAAAGTCATTTCTTTAATTCTCTTGAACGCTGTCAGAAAATAACATCATCCCATAGAAACAAGTCATTCAAACTAGGCTGCAGGATCTGAGCGGGCCAACCAAGGCATTGCTGGAGTCCCAGGCAAAGCCAGGTGGTTGTCTCATGATAGAAGACCGCTTAGGTGCACTCGCCCAGGGCCCAACACTGTTCTTCAACAGCAACTCTGCTGGCCAGCAAGGATGGTTCCTGTGGCAAAGACAATATTGCATTTCCTTTACTCCTGAGCTCATGGGTAGAATTCCCTGGCCTCCCTCGCATGCAGATGGGTCCAGTGACTGAGCCCTGACATGGAAAATGGGTGGAAGTGATGAATGCCTCTTCCAGGACTGGCCTGAAACTCCTTCCACGAGTTCCTCCTATGGCTCTCTGTCTTCACCCTTTAGCTTCCCTCTGCAGAAGATCCAAAGGAGAACTCTGACAAGATGGGAGAACCAAGTCTGGAAATCCACTGATTTTTTTTTTTTAATTACAGCAGCATCACACAATGACCAATACAGTCCCTATAAGCCAAGTCTTGTGGCTCCAGAGCCTGAGTTAATTGGACCAAGATTGAGTAGCTCACTCTTGCTGGGCCAGTTCTTGTTCTTGTTCTGTTCTCTGCACTGACCTCTGGAACTGGGAACATGTTAATTTATGAGCTGGGAGCAGCCTCCTTTGGTCCTATGGAGGTAAAAGTAAGTAAAACCAAAGTGCTGAAGTGAGTAATCAAGGCAGAGTACCCGAGAGAGAGAACCACGAGACCCAGAGATGTAACGTAAGATGTGATGGAGCAGCTTGGCTTCCTGACAGTTTTTGATTTCCTGGTTTTCTTATTAATTGAAACTTCTAAGCCTTTCTTTGAGCTGTCTTCTGATCGCAGCTGGGAGTTGGGAAAGCTCCTATAGCAGACCTCATATCAAGGCCATTTATCGCTCTTCCTCCAGAGACTAATCATTGAACTTGCTCTCTAGTGAAGACTCTAAAGTTCAGATCACACTGTTCCAATTTAGTAATTCAGGTACTTCTTCCCCAACAGCAGCAGGGAGCAAGAATCACTGTCCCATCTGGACGGCCTGTCGCTTTATTTCAGATCACATTGTTTGTTCAGAAGAGCAAGACCCATTAGCTAAATGAAGATCCTCTGGCTTCAGTGGTGGGGAGAAAGAAGGAAAGTGCTAAAACATTTTAATTACATTTGGGAAGCAGGGAAAACAGAAGTGGATGGTGTCTCCATGCATCTGTAAGGAACGTATCAGAGGTAGATAGAAAGGGAAAATTAGGCAGACAAAAAGAAATGAGGAAGAGAAAACGAGGAAGGGAAACCCTGTAATCTCTCTATTTAACAGGTTTCTTGCTGGCAGGTCAAGTTTTGCACTGATGGGACTTCAAAAAGGAACTAAGTGGCCAAAAAATAAGATTGTTCTTAGAAGCCTTGACCAGTTCAATTTTCTTCAAAACAAATTTCAGTTTGAAGCAAAGATGAGGTTTCTTTTGTATTTGGGTTTGGAGCCTTCGGGGAGCAGGGGAGAAGGCCTGTGGATAAATGTAGCTATTTGTGAGCAGAATTTTAAACTCTGTGTCTAAAATGCTATGTATATGGGGAAAAGAATAGAATTCTGTATCCTGATAGGAAAGGCAAGAAAAAATGTGTAGACTCCCGAAAAGGCCTTGAGGTAGGTAATGCCATTTTTGAGTCAGTGGCAATCCAGTCACCACCCTTAAGCCAGGTCTATAGCCACTCCTATTTTTCTGCACGGTGTTGCCTTTCTCCTCTCTGATACCCCCATCTCCAGTCCTCCTAGGGTCATATCTCACAGTGCTGCCAGAATGACATGTATACAGCATCGATGTGACTATCCATTTCTTGTGTAGAAAATCTTCAATGCTCCCCCCATTTTGTCAATAAGAAGTATCTCCAGATGGTGTGTGCATGCTCAGTTGCTCAGTCATGTCTGACTCTTGTGAACCCAGGGACAGTAACCCACCATGTTCCTCAGTCCATGGAATTTTTCAGGCAAGAATATTGGAGTAGGTTGCCATGTCCCACACCAGGGGATCTTCCCAACCCAGGGATCTAGCCTAGTGCAGTCATCCTTTACCTGTAGGTTAGAGCCTACATTTTCCTTCTTCCTACTCCACATGCAGTCAGACTAAGGTCCTGTCTCCTCCTCTAGTTTTTGGCACACTGCTGTCTTAGGCCACAGGGCCCTTTCCACTCCCCACACTCTAACAAATCACTGACAGTCCTTACAGGGCATTTTTAAAGTCTAATTTCCACTGCTAGTTCTTTACTGGTCTTTCCCCCCTCTTAACCCGATGGAACTTTATTTTTAAACTGTGAATGAATTTTTCAGGTGCCAAAGAGATAATTGACATTTTATATTAGTTTCAGGTGCATGACATTATGATTTAATATTTATATATATTACAAAATAATCATCATACTAAGTCAATCACCATAATTATTTTTTTTCCTTGTCACGAGAACTAGATCTACTCTTGCAGCAGCTTTCATGGGTGCAATACAGTATTATTAACTACAGTCACCATGCTGTACATTAAATTCTCATGCCTTATTTTATGACTGGGAGTTTTACCTTTTGACCACCTTCACCCATTTTGCCCACCTCCTGCCCCACTCATAGCCTCTGGTAACCATCAATCTCTGTATCTTTGAGTTCCTTCTTCTTATTTTTTTTTTTAGATTTAACATAAAAATGAGATTATATGGTATTTGTCTTGTTCTGTCTGACTAATTTCACTTAGCATAAGGCCCTCAAGGTCCATCCACATTATCACACATGGTAAGATTTCCTTCTTTTAAGTTGAAATGATACTCCACTGTATATGCATGTGTGTCTCTCTGTAACCTTTTCTTTATCCTTCACCCATCACCCGTGGATGTTAAGGTTGCTTTCATGTCTTGGGTATTGTAAAGAATGCTGCATGAACATGAGGGTGCAGATATCTTTTTGAGTCAGTGTTTTCATTTCCTTCAGATAAATATCCAATCATCTTCTTTATAATGATTCAGAAAAATAATCTTTCCAAAGCTACAGGAACATCAGGAGGAAGAGCCAAGATTTTAATCCAAGCACGCTGGCTCCAGAGCCTGCTATTCTTACCACATTACCTCTTTTACAGTTTCTGCTCTGTTCACTGTTATTTGAAATTTGCTTATCATCCCACTAGAATACAAGCTCACTGAAGACAGAGATATATTTTTCTCTGCATTCCCATCAGTGATTAGAATATTACAGTGCATATACGAATTTTTCCTCAATTGAACTGAATAAAGAAGTAGTTTGGAAAACTACACATGGAAGTATATAAGAGTTTATACTGTGATTGATTATACCTTTGGGATGCTTCTGGTAAAGATAGTCAATTCCTAAGCAGTAGATCCAATAAAATAACCCAACTCTGTGGATAAAAAAAAATAAAACTTACTTTTATCACTTATAATCTCTGTGGCATGAATCCTTTTTCTTACTAGGAAATACAAAACTAGAGAGAAGACTTCACTGAGCTTAAAGGTAAAGGAATCTCTAGAAAATAAAAATGGGACCACATTCCACAGCCATGAAAATAAAATATTTTCAGGGTGATCTTTCATAGCTTTTTTACTTTCCTTTCTTACACTGGTTTCATGGAACTACCAATGAATACTGCCTTAGCACTATAAATCTATAAAATTTAATTTCTCCAATGAACAGTAGAAACTTAAAGGATTCACTCTAATCTCTTTGACCATCATACAAATGACCAGATACAGTTTTGATCCAAATGGTTCTGTGGGATTTTTACTATAAAACTGAAATGTATCCCTTTTCCTTCCCTCATTTCTTTTAGTGCTTTCCATGCGATGCTATTTTGTTTATTTTTATATGTCTCGTAAGCAGGTCTCAGCAACCATAGTAGAACAAGAAGCTTATGGTCCTTCGAATGACGGTTACAGTGGATGCTACCAGTTTCATTTGTAGCTTTTAAAAGGAATTGCTGATAAAAGTTACTTAATCCTATTACATTTAGTAAATGTTTCCTAATTCTGATAAAATAATATGTAAAATAAAAATTTAAATATAGGGAACTCTTTGACTTATACATTTTAAACTCCTAGCATTTCATTAGACTGTTTGGTGGAACTGTTTCACTTTATTTACTTGACATGGGGCTACACAAGCACCAAAGTAGACGGCTGCTGTGCTTGCTTTGAAATGATTGATTACTCAAGTCTTGCTGCATCAGAATTATAGCATGTGCGGGTGTGCTAAGGCACTTCAGTCGCATCCAACTGTGTGACCCCACAGACTGAAGCCTTCCAGGCTCCTCTGTCCATGGGGATTCTCCAGGCAGGAGTACTGGAGCGGCTTGCCATGCCCTCCTCCAGGGGATCTTTCTGACCCAGGGATCAAATCTGAGTCCCTAATGTTTCCTGTATTGGCAGGTGGGTTCTTTACCACTAGCTCCACCTGGGAAGCCGGAGTTATAGCATATTTCCTCCAAAAAGGAGAAACATAGCACATCAATGTGCCAGGGACAAGTTTGCACTGCCTTTTTCCAGAGCGCTGGACCAGACCATTCTAAACTTGGAATACTGCACTGCCATCTGGGGGTATAATTTTAAGTCATTTGCTGTTGAGCTGAGAGGAAGAGGTGAGATTCCGTAACAATCTGAAAAAATTGACAGCAATGAGAGTGCTTCTCAGTTAAGTGTGAAGTCCTGTTCCTACCCCTGCTGTTTTTCCCCTAAAGCAAAATACATACACATCTAAATACACTCCTTTCTTTCAAAATAGGATTCAGTCCTTATGCTGTATCACTTTCTTTTTTGACTTTATTTTACTGCCTGTAAGTCATAATTTGAACCCAAAGGAGTTGGGGGGCTCACCGAGCACAAGCCCCTCCTTGCAGGGATGAGGAAATGGGGTCCAATACTGCTACAAGTTGCCCTGTCTTATAACTTACTAATGGCAGATCTAAAAGACACAAGTCTCTTGTCTCCAAATTAAATGTCCTCATTTCTGTAAGATCTTGTTCCCAGTAATACCAGACCATAGAAGCTTCCCAATCTTGTAAAGAATCACTTGGCCAGTCTCCCAGGAGAAAAACACATGTACACATGAGTCAACAAAAGTGTTAATGTTAAGGTACATACATAACTTTGGGAGAAGACAGGTAAGATATTAAGGTGGAAGAGTGAGGGGCACTGATCGATTTGTGTGCTTATTTTACAGACTGGCCTACTTATCCTTTATGAGCCTTTGGTATTTATTTCCCATAAGGTTCAGAGCTGTTGCTGAATTTTAAAAGGAAAAAAGAAAAAAGCGTTGGTCCTTGCATAGTGAATATTATAATTAAAAACAAAACAAAACAAAATGAAACCACATTAGTTTGATCTCTGCTTAGTAAGACAGCTAATCAATAGGTTATATAGAAAGTACAAATAAATCATAAATTAGCAGGAAGTATAGCTTCACATAGTATTTTTTGTTAGTTTTTTTAAACTTATTTGCTATATATATTTAAGCATCACTAACACCATTTATTAATTTATTCATCAATATTTATTTATTCCTATTCAAAGGGGATGGGCAATTTATTGATATAAGCTAAAATTAAGTCAACTTTACTTGCATTAGAATTTGGAAGTCCTAAATTCTACTCACCAGTGAATGGGATTTTCAAGGGTCTCACCCTTACATACAGGGAACATCTGGGGAGAGTCCTCTGAATATCCCCATAGCTTACTATACTTGTCCAACCCTTTACGCATAATAGATAGAAACCTTTCTCCATAGCCAAGCCTTTGGAATAACTGTTGAAGGGAAGCAGGGTTTGCCACCCCTAAATATGCCCCTGGGTATAAGGTTTTTATCTTGGGCTAACCATTTTTAATAAACTGCTTTGAAAACCAAGCTAAAGTTACCCTTTTCTTGCATTTATAAGGGAAATCTCTATTTGCAAAGATATCTCCCTCTCTGTACCAGGAAGACGAGGATGACCAAACTCCTAGAACCTCTTATCAATGAAGAAGGCACATACTTAAATCTGCATAATCACCGTATCCTGACTTACTGTGCTTTCCCTGGTAACCTCCCATAACCTGCCTTCCCTCGACACCCAACATCCTTTGTCTTTTGCTGCAGATGATGGTATTTAAGGCGGTGACTTGGGCCACCGCAACTTCACCTTCAAGCAGTTACTCAGTTTTCTTACGTATCTCCCAAGAAGGTATATATGTTCTTAAAGTTCTGTTTGTTTTTCTCTTGTTAATATCTTTTATTACAGGGGGAGAGGATTCAGCCAAGAACTTAGAAGGGCAAAGGGAAGATTATCTTTCCTTCCATACATTTACTAAAGATCATTTTTAGGGGAGGGTGTCAGCATAATTGCCATGGAGACAGAGTTCATGAGTCATTCATCTACTGAGGTGGCATAAAGAAGCAAATGCTTGGGAGGAATGAATGGACATCAGAGTAAAAGAATATTAATAACATTAATACAATGCAATAGCCTCTTCAAACATTTTAAAACTATCACCCAAAGCACATATAAATTGTATTGTCAGTCACACATATGTACATGCATTAGAAAGGCTATCTGTTCATATGCTATAACAGATAAGTGTTATATAATGATGATTTAAATAAGAAAGTTCATTTCTCTCATGTAAAATTCCAAATAAGAGGCCCAGGCCTGAAATGTTGACCTAGGATCCTTCTACCTTGATGTCCCTCCTTCCTGATCAGACCACTTTTTTGTCCAAAATGGGAGCTTTACTTCTTATCATCATGCCCACACTCAGTGTGGAAAAAAGCAAGAGAAAGACACACCTATGTTCTTAAACGGCATGCCACAGAAGTTGCAGTTACACACATGCGTCAGTTCATAGCCCGCAGGCAGGACTCGGCCATGTGCCACATCCAGATGCAAAAGAGACTGGAAACGCAGGCCTTAGTTGGGTAGCCATGTGCCAAAATAATATTCTATTAGATGTAAAAAGGTGTGTTAGGTAGGGTAATGCTAGCTGCTATTTAAAAAAGAGGGAGAGAAAGAGATGCCCCTCCAAATGCAAAACAGGTCAAACACAATAAAAATTTACTTCCCATTTATGTCTGGCCCATATTTAAAAACTAGTTGAAAGACGACTCTGCCATCTTCAATATACAGTCTACTGCTGGGGGTACAGGAAGGATTATATCTCCTTTCCAGCAACGGGATAGTGAGGAAAGAGGATGAAAAAGGTATTTGTGTTTCTTAACTTGGCCAAGAAATGACAGACTCCACGTGTCACAGGGGCTCGCGTTCATTAGCAAGTCATTAAATGACCTCATTTAGGTACAAGAGGACTAGAAAATGTAGTCCCTGGATAAGCATGCACTTCCAAGTGGGACATAAATTTCAGTGGAAAGGGAGTTTTCTCTGTAACAGAAAGTAGATATTGAAGTCTACTTGAGTCTTTGTCCTCATGACCCATTCAGGTCACATCTCCTTTACTTTCATAGCTAGACCAGGTTCCTGTCCTCCCACTCTCCAACAGAGACAACCCCATCTGGGTCATGCATCCTGTTCCAAGTCTAGCATTTCTGGGTAATGTGCGTGTCTATCAAAACTGGCAGTGGTTTTACATGAAGTCTAGAAGCTAAAATGGAGTTATCTGTACCCATCTGTAACCTAATATAAAGTGCTGATAAGAAAAGAACATATTAAAAAAAAAAAAAACCGCTCTGAAAAGAGAGGAACAAGAATAGCTCATAGTAACTGGACTTAGTGCCATGAAATAATTTCCTATGTTAATATGCTACCCGGCAGCTCTTGATTCCACTCTGTGGGGCATACCTCCTTGGTCACTGTCCTGCTGGTGTCTGATTTTGTCTTCAGACAGGTTTTTATATGGCCACATACCAAGCAGGCATTAGAGAATATCCCCAGCTTGGGGACTGCAGAATGTTGGTACTCTAATTCCTGCTGGTAAAACAGACAGGTTTATGAGACAAAGTTTGCTTTAAGGGGTGAAAAGTAACAGAATTCTACAAGCCTGGCCCATGATTTCTTTGGTAACATATCGTAGTGAAAATTTAGAGGGTCCATGGACTCTATTTCCATTAATTCTAACCGCAAACAAATAAAGACAAAATTATCATCTGTATGTTAGTTCTTTAGCCGAAATTCTGGTCTTTTGTTTACTTGTCTCTGTGCCCTGTCATTCACTCTCTTGCCCAATTTAATAGTGGCCACCTTAAGGCCAAATAAAACAATTGGCTTCAGTAGGAAGCCAAGGTCCTTAATCTAATGTTCCCCCTGGGCTGGCTCCCATTGTCTGGTAGTCTTAATGGTTTGTCCAGTCTTATCTCCTGCTAAGACTATTTCTGGAGTTAGAGACTCATTTGATCACTGCCTCAGTTTGGGCACAAACACCTTTGTTCCTTGTCAGGACTGATTTATAAAACCCTATATTTTAAGACTCTCAGTCCATTTAGTTTGCAGGCCAAAGAAACAGAAAGCCTACCTTCCCAGAGCCTCACTCTTTTTTTTTTTTCACTCCTTGCTTGTTCTAAGTTGAATTCACCTCTCTGATAGGCCTTGTCACATGGCAAAATTAATATATATATGTATGTATATATATATAATATAAGAAAAAATACCCAATAGGCAACAAGAATATGTATCAAAGGCTTGACTGGCACGTGGTCTTATATATAAGACCTGTCCACATGAAATGTGGTCAATGTTTCGCCACAACACACCTATTATCAGCAGCTTTCCAGTCCAATATTGGTGTCTTCATTGCACCCCACCCACTAACTAAGCCGTGGACTATCTTTAGGTGCTGCTCCTACAGCCCCATTCCTGCCTACCGTGTGTGTGTTAGTTGCTCAGCTATGATCAACTCTGCAACCCCATGGACTGTAGCCCATCACGCTCCTCTGTCCATGGATTTTCCAGACGAGACTACTGGAGTGGGTAGTCATTTCCTTCTCCAGGGGATCTTCCCGACCCAGGGATCGAACTGGCATCTCCTGCACTCGACAGATCCTTTACCATCTGAGCCACCAGTTGGAATACCAATTCAATCACGGTCAGAAAGAATCTGAAATAATACAAGTTGAAGCAGGAGATGTGCTTATTTATCTCTTAATTAGGAGACAGTGAGGAAGTCCAGGGCTGATATGGAAGTTCTGTAACCATTAGGGGTGCAGGCTCATTTAGCTTCCTTGTCTAGTCATTCACAATATGTGGTTTCTATTTAGTGCTTTGGCTACTCCAGCTGTCACCAATGTTTGTTTTCCAGCTAAGGGAGGAGTCAGAGGAAGGAAGAGGTCCCATTTCATTCCCTCAAAGACTCAATCCCAAAGCAGGGCACTGTATTTATCCCTTTAGCCAGAATTAGATTGTAGAGCAGGAAAAGAAATCTTATCCTCAACATACCTTAGGTTTACCTTAGTGGGACCATGTAAATTACACTGACCAAAGACAAATTAACAAGAGAGGAAAAAAACACAACCCAGAAGTTTATTACTGTGTGTGTTGTGCACATACAGGTGGGACTTCCCATTGAGGCACAACCCCAAAGGACTGGTTTGAACTCGGCATGTATACCATCTAAGGCTAAAAAAGTGGAAGTCGCTCAGTCATGTTCAGCTCTTTGCAACCCCATAAACTATACAGTCCATGGAATTCTGCAGGCCAGAATACTGGAGTGGGTAGCCTTTCCCTTCTCCAGGGGATCTTCCCAACCCAGGGATCGAACCCAGGTCTTCCGCAATGCAGGTGGATTCTTTACCAGCTGAGACACAAGAGAAGCCCAAAGGCTCAACAAAGGAAAAGGAGCTTCTGCTTCGCGCCAGGGCAGGTGGATTAAGAGAAGACGACGGACAAGTAGAGGTAACAGGGTTGTTTGCGAAGCCTTGTTGTGCAGATCTCAGTGGGTGCCTTCGCAGTGAATGGGTTGTTAAAGAGTTCTCTTCTTCCCTTTATGTGAGAGGGAGACATCTTTCACAAATGGAAATTTCCTTTACAAAGGGAAAAACAGGCACCCTGTTTTTAGAGCTTTTACTGCCTCTCCTGGTTTTCAGTGGCCTTCAGCTCAAAATAAAACTGGCATATTTTGTGGAGGCATATTCTGGTACCCTTCAAAGATATATGACCACATTGCTAGGGGATAACTGTGAAAAATAGTTAAAACGCAGTTGCTTTATCATTTGAGAAGAGAATAGGTATCTGGAGAAAATGCAGCAGTCTTTTCCATTCATTGGTACGTATAACTGAAAGAAAAATTTAACAAGAAACCTACTCTGTTTGCAATACCTTGTGATATTTCCTACTAGTCTATTCCAATAAAAGTGACATTTGAGCCCACAAATTAATTTCTCCATTCATTAATGCATCAAAACCAGTTTCAAACCCATGGGTCTAGAAGGCAAATTTAAGTTCTACATCCATCAGTCTACTTCTGCATCCTAGATTTCTAAAGGAGGTTCACATTTGATGATAATCTCAGGTATAGGATGCTGTCAGGAACAAAAAACAAACCGACTCCTAGATATATGACAAAACAACAAGGACAAAGGAGAAGAAAGGGGAAATTAAACTCTCCCAACAGCCTTTAACTGAAGACATAAGTCTTTCACAATCAGAAATAAAAACCTTAGAGATGCAAGCACCTGCAGGTCTTAACAGATGACTCTGAATTCTTTCAGCGGGTTTCATATCCTGCAGGGTTAACTACACTCTACTACTTTGCTATTCAAAATAAATAATAATACCCCATTACCATACCTCAAATTCTAAGGATCTCTCAGAGCTCACAGTCATATCCTTTTCAGACTGCATTTATCCCCAGCACATGACTAAGACAGGAAAAAGCAGCTGTCTTTTTCTTAGCACAGGTCTGAGGGTGTACTCCATATGGCTTTGCAGTAGGAAAAAAAAATAAATGTACATCTTTAAAAAATGAATTACTTTCCTTTTTTAAAGTTTTTTTTTTTTAATTTCCATTTTGGAATTACATGAAATCTGGAGGAAAATAAACACTGATTCTCAGCGGATAAAAATTTCAAC